TCACTCAAGTGCTAGAAGAACGTGCAAGTATTATTCATGGCTTTATCTAAAGATTCTTATGTGCCATTTAGTAACTACCATGTATTAAGTGCCTGCTATATTCCAGGCACCAAATGAGGTATTACGTAGACAGGATAATTCAATTGTCACAAAATTATACCCAAGGCAAAGACGCCATCCTCACACTGCAGATGAGAAAACTAACATCCAGAATGATTGGGAAACTTGCCCCAGATGATAAGTGGTGAAGAAGGGAATGGGACCTGGTAGATATTAGAATAGTTCTATGTAATTATAAAGGTAATTTTGCCATTTTCTATTAATTATTTCACAATTACTCATTGCAGAGATACTGGAGAAGGAGAATTCAGAGTATTCAAAGCAGAATTGTGTAGAAAGATGAGTGAAGAAAAACAGAAGACAGAATGATGCCACAAGTCTGTCGCCTGGACCACTAAGAGGCTGGTAATGCCTTTAACCTGTCCAGGGAAGAAAGAAAAGAAAGAAAGAGCAAGAGGTGTGAAATGACAAGTTCCTTCTGGGCAGTTTTTACATTATTAAAGTAATATAAATAAAATACATATTATTTTAGGCCAGGTGTGGTGGCTCATGCCTGTAATCCCAGCACTTTGGGAAGCTAAGGTGTGAGGATTACTTGAGGTCAGGAGCTCGAGGACAGCCTGGGCGACAGGGCAAGACCCCATCTCCACAAAAAGTTTAAAAATATTCTAAAATTTAGTGCTTATTTAAGAAATATTATTTTAGTATATTTATTAGTCATTCTATATACTATAAAACATATAAAACGTATATATTATATACTTATATAATACACATTTTCATATATTCATTATTGTTACTAAAGTAATGTAAAAAAATTGAGAAGTGGGAAGAGGAGTAATAAATTATCCATAATGTCACCGTTTCAGCCCCGTTGTCCTCCATTTTTTATTTCTATATTTTTATAAGCATCTTTTTGTTTATAATTGCAGTGAGAGTGCATATCACATGATGGTTTTTTTCATCATGTGATTAATTCAAAGACATTGCTACATAATCTTCATATTTATTACTTTTCACATATCCCTCCCTCCCATCCAGAGGATACACTATTACTGACTTGACAGTTTCTCGTATTGTTTGGGCAGTTCTCGTATTGAATCGGACTCTGGGTGGGTCAGATTCTGTTTATTTTTTATGCAGGTGAATTCCAATGAAACATTTATTGGACGTGTGAATTCTGAGTCCAGAATTCAGGAGAAAAGTCAAGGCTAGAGATAGAGATTTGGTTGTAGGGATGCCACTCTTGGAGCAAAGCACAGCCAAGGCATGGTAGGAGTGCTAAAATATGACGGCTAATTCTTTGATCCTTCTCCCAGCGAGACGGGCCATCTATGTCCCCCACCCGTGAGTCTGGCAGGATTTGTAATTGCTTGGAAGGAAAGATTTTGATGGCTGGGGAAGAAGCGTGGCTCACAATGGCAGGGAGCAGACGACACTGTGGAATGGCCCAGGCTGTATCGTGAAAATCTGTGCACATCCACCTGCTTCTCCTGGAGCGCTCACTCTGGAAGGTCCCAGGTACCATCCCGTGAGAAGCCCTAGTCACACGGAGGGACTGTGGTAGGTGCTCCGGCTGATTCTCAGATTAGACAAGATTTTATGTCATCCCTGTCCAACACCCAGACGTGTGAGTGAAGAAGCCTTCAGAACGTCCCAGCCTCCCTCTGTTGGAAACACGTCCCAGACATTTGACACTTTCCTGACCGGGCCCCATTGAGCATGGAAGAGATGCAGGCTATCCCTGCTATGCCCTTTTCAAATTCCCGACGCACGGAATGCAAAAGTGTAATAAAATGGTTGATGCATCATGACTCTGAGTTTAGGGAAGTTTGACAGGCAGCAAAACACCAGAGGTGAATTTGGTACCGGGAAGGGGTCTCTGCCGTGATAAAAGGTGAAACTTGCCGCATGGGTTTTGGAGCCCAGTGACGGTCAGAAGCCACACAGTCCTCCTGGAGGTCATCAGTGACGGCCTGAAGGATGGTGACGGCACAGGTGTTGGGAGATGAGAAAGGAGACATTGGCCGGCGCGGTGCTCACGCCTGTAACCCCAGCACTATGGGAGGCCGAGGCGGGCGGATCACGAGGTCAAGAGATCGAGACCATCCTGATCAACATGGTGAAACCCTGTCTCTACTAAAAATACAAAAATTAGCTGGGCATGGTGGTGCGTGCCTGTAATCCCAGCTACTCAGGAGGCTGAGGCAGGAGAATTGCCTGAACCCAGGAGGCGGAGGTTGCGGTGAGCCGAGATCGTGCCATTGCACTCCAGCCTGGATAGCAAGAGCGAAACTCCGTCTCAAAAAAAAAAAAGAAAGGAAGGAAGGAAGGAAGGAAGGAAGGAAGAAAGAAAGAAAGAAAGAAAGAAAGAAACAAAGAAAGAAAGAAAGAAAGCAGGGAAAAAGAAAGCCATTATTACCTAGAAGCAATGCCTTCTGCAACACTGTCCCGTCAAAATGTACCTAAACTCAACCACGAAGATAAAGGAGAATTTCAGGGGAGTGTTGAAGGGTTGTCTAGCTTTTAGTATTCTAAAATAAAATGAGAGACTAAGAGAGATAAACTCATGAATTACCCCACAATTCAGAGAAAATGTATACTTGAGAGGAAATGTAAGTAGAAGGAAATGTAACCGATAATGAATCTGAAGGGACTGTAACACAGAGCGAAGAGTCCCCCAAATAAGAAATGGGCTCGCACCTTGAACCACAGCACTTTGGGAGGCCAGGGTGGGAGGACTGCTGAGACTAGGAGTTCTAGGCCTGCCTGGGCAACAAAGCAAGACCACGTCTCTATAAAAATTTAAAAAAAGAAAATAGCCAGGCATAGTGGTGCATGCCTATAGTCCTAGCTTCTCTTCTTAGGAGGCTGAGGCAGGTGCATCACTGGAGCCCAGGAGTTGGAGGTTGTAATGAGATACGTTCTCTATACTGAACTCAAGCCTGGGCTACAGAAGAAGACCCTGTCGAAAAAGGGAGGGGAGGGGAGGTGACGGGAGGGGAGGAGGGAAAGACCAACCTCGTGGCTAAGATCAAATCCAAGGCCTTTTCAAGAAAATATGGTCTCAGGGTAAAGATGAATTTCTAACCTATAGAATTTCTGAAAAAAATGCCACTACATTTGAGGTGGTTTTTTATGCAGCAAAAGGTACCCGAAACATGCACGAATGCGATTCTCAGAAGAGAAGCACCACAGATGGAAAAGGAGGAACTGAGGCCCGAGAGAACAAAAAGAGAAAAAATATTTAATAAGTACAATGAGAAGAGATATTCTTAAAGGAACCAGTTGCTCATTATCGAAAAATGGAATATAACTTCTTTCACTGGGCGTAATTATTTTGAGATTCATCTATTTTATTTCATGTATTTAAGAGTATGGTTGTATCAGGATTTCGCTGTCCATTCACACTTTGAAGGACACTGGAGTTCCTTCCAGGTTTGAGAGATTAGAAATAACGCTGCTCGCTAAAACATTCACGCACAGGTTTTTGTGTAAACCTAAGATTTTATTTATCTAAGATAAATTCCTAGGCATGATATTGCTGGGTCATAAGGGACGGATATGCTTACCTTTTTAAAAAGTGTCAGACTATTTCCCAGAGCAGCTGGACAGCTTTGCATTCCCACCAGCGGTGGAAGAGAATTCCGGTTGCTCCAACATCCATCATCACTTGACACCCTCAGTGCTTTTCATTTTCGTTGCTCTAAGAGGTGCATAATGGCACCTCATTGTGTTAATTTAGATGTTGCTAATTACTAACGATTTTTTCATTGGCTTACTTGCCTACCTTTTATCTACTTGGTGAAGCTTCTGTTCAAATCGTTCATGCATTTTTAAATTACATTGTCTGTTCCCTCATTGTTGAGTTTGGAGAGCTCTTTATTCCAGATATGTATCTTTTGTCTGATGCATTATTTGCCAACATTTCCTCCCAATCTGTAGAGTGTCTTTTCAGTTTCTTACGTGTGTTCTTTGAAAAGCAAAATGTTTTTTTTTTTTCCATTTTATTTTACTTTATTTTATTTTTTGAGACAGAGTTTTGCTGTTGTTGTCCAGGTTGGAATTCAATGGCACAATCTCGGCTCACCACAACCTCTGCCTCCTGGATTCAAGTGATTCTCCTGCCTTGGCCTCCGGAGTAGCTGAGATTACAGGCATGTGCCACCATGCCTGGCTAATTTTGTATTTTTAGTAGAGATGGCCTTTTTCCATGTTGGTCAGACTGGTTTCAAACTCATGACCTCAGGTGATCTGCCTGCCTCGTCCTCACAAAGTGCTGGGATTACACAAGCCTGCCTCGTCCTCACAAAGTGCTGGGATTACACAAGCCTGCCTCGTCCTCACAAAGTGCTGGGATTACACAAAATGTTTTTAACTTTCATGAAATCCAACTTATGGTGAGAGGGCTTACCTACAATGGGTCAGACTCAGGGAAGTGGGGAAGGAGAGGAGTTGCTGAATCGGTTCTGTATCCGAGTAGTTAGGAGAATCTATGCACACACTGGATGATAGATATACCAAAAAATGTGAATGCAAATTCCTCAAAAATCTCTTCTACATCTACTAAAATACGGCGGAGGGAAGACTGTACCTGACATAAATCAGAGCTTTCCAATGCATAAAAGCTTATTTTTTATTAGAGAAAATACAAAACAGAACATGTCTATAAGCATGAAAGTGGCGTACGTCTATATCCCAACTCTCTGCATTAACATAATTTATATGCCGATTTTAGGCTAATTTCAGAAATTGACCAATAGCAAAAGAATTCGTTCTTTCAGGAGTTTTGCCCAGCAGAAAAGAAGACGCTCAAGTATTATGGATGCCAGTGTTTCATTTGCGCCCGGGTGTGATGGAGCGCAAGGAAAACGACTGGTGGAGACGCGTCCATTGCAGATTGCGTAACAAACGAGCTCAGAGCAGGGCTCTAAGTGCCCCAAAACATTTAGGGCCATTCGAAACCATTCAGATTATTGACTCCACCTCCAGCTAAACGAGATCAAACAGCCTTGTCTTTTTCCCTCTGCCTTTGTAACTAACCAAAGCCTGAAGTTCTCGGCAGTACCTTCCTAATTGGCTTCATTGTTTGGTTATTGTGCTTAGAGCAGTTAGCATTTGCATTTCCAATGGACCAGCCTGACATTTCAGTTCCCTTTAAATGACCCTTAATGGTTTTCTATGCTTCAGCATAACCAGCGAATCCACTCTTGGGGGTGATTGTTACACTTACAAAAGGTAAGTGCAAGTTTTTTGTTGTCGTTTGTTTTGTTTTTTTCCTTACAGACCTTAGAAGATACAGATATTGGAGTGTGGGTTTGTGCATGTATTGGAGACACACATTCATTCTCATTCTTCCATGAAAGACGCAGAAGTGGGAGCTAAACCAGAGAAAACTTCGGACACTTTCCAGGGTACGCCCAGCACTTTCCCATCTGTATGGCTTTTCTTACATGATTTCCTCCTCCGGATCACTCTGTTTCTGAGCCCCACAGCGCCACCCTTGATCTCCCACGCTACGATAAAGTGCCCCCACTGCCCCGAAAGACTGCGACATCGTTGGCACCACCCTTATTTTACCACTAATTACGTTCTCCTTCACATATTGTTTATTACACATTGTTCTCTGGCTCCATTCCACTGCAGCTTCTGGGAGAAAAAGATCACGCCTGACTCAGTTTCTCCCTCTCAAAGGGCTTTGAACATTTGCGGACACTTCCATCCTGTCCGCAGCTTCTTTTCATTCTCTTCACTGTGTTCTTCAAGAAGCAAACTTCCTTGCTGTGATGAAGCCCAATTTATCACTTTCTTCTTTCATGGATAGTGTTCCTTGTGTTATATCTAAAAACTCTTTGCCAGATCCTTGGATCGAACGAAGGTGGGGAAAACAGCTACATACAAAAGTTTAACGTGAAGCAATCGGGGGGGAGGAGTGTGAGAAGTATTAGATATTCTCTTTGCGTGGGGGTTAACATTTCGTAAAACTCAGAACTGTACACCACAGTATGTATGTATCACTTTCTGAAGTGCTAAAGGAGTGTTTGCTTGATTTGTTTGTTTTTATTATTATTATTCTGAGACAGGGTCTCACTCTGTCGCCCACTCTGGAGTGCAGTGTCATGATCAAGCTTCACTGCAAACTCCACCCCCAGGTTCAAGGGATTCTCCTGCCTCAGCTTCCCAAGTCGCTGGGATTACAGGCGCCCACCACCACGCCAAGCTAATTTTCATATTTTTAGTAGAGACCGGGTTTCACCGTGTTGGCCAGGCTGGTCTCGAACTCCTGACCTCCGGTGATGTGGCCGCCTCGGCCTTCCAAAGTGCTGGGATTGCAAGCGTGAGTCACGGTGCCTGGCTGCTTTGTTTGTATTATTAAGGAAATTATTTTTGCTGAATTATCCTGGAAACATACTTTTCAAAATGCAAGCCATATTCTTGTTACCCCAGCAAGCTAAGGGAGTGGAGTAAAATAGTGTCACTCACTTAGGAATATACATGAAGCGTCTCCTCTGTACCAAAGTACTTTTCTTCCTCTCCTCTTCAGATGATCCTCAATGGCAACTATTGTGTCTGCAGTGACAAGTGAACCATAATGAAGAGTGGAATAAAACCATGATTCATCTTCGGAGGTTCTCCATTTTCCCCCTTACTTTTGAGTAATAGAAAAAGTATCCCAACTGGGCACAGAGGCTCATGCCTATAATCCCAGCACTTTGGGAGGCTGAGGTGCATGGATCGCCTGTGGTCAGCAGTTTTGAGACCAGCCTAGCAGACATGGTGAAACCCCATATCTACTAATAATATAAAAATTAGCTGAGCATGGTGGCAGGTGCCTGCAATCCCAGTTACCTGGGAGGCTGAGGCAGGAGAACTGCTTGAACCCAGGAGGCAGAGGTTACAGTGAGCTGAGATCACGCCACTACACTGCAGCCTGGGTGACAAGAGTGAAACTCCATCAGAGAGAGAGAGAGAGAGAGAAGGGAGGGAGGGAGGGAAGGAAGGAAGGAAGGAAGGAAGGAAGGAAGGAAGGAAGGAAGGAAGGAAGGAAGGAAGGAAGGAAGGAAAGAAGGAAGGAAGGAAGGAAGGAAGGAAGGAAGGAAGGAAGGAAGGAAAGAAAGGGAGGGAAAGACGGGAAGGAAGGAAGGGAAGGAAGGAACGAAGGGAGAGAAGTATCCCATTCATCCTATGGTCTCTCTATATTGTTAGCTTTTTCCTGGGAAGGAGGGTGGCTTGGACACAGGAAGAGGAAGAAAGAGAGCACTAACGTCTCTTTCTCCTCCCTCCTTTGAAGGCTGCCTCAGAGGGAATGTGGGCTCACTCTTCCCCTCCTGAAGAAGGTACAGCAGGATACTTCAATCCCGATCTCCATGGGCCTTGCCATCTTAGCAACTGACCTACCTAGTAGAGGCCATGCATGCCTATTACCTATCGCCTAGCTTCCTGCTCACCTTTCAGAATTACATCTGCAGTGCCCTACTGGAGACACATCCACAAAGCAGGAAATGCTGATGGGCTCCCAGACCTTACTCATGAAAAGGAATTTTGTTGCCCCTGAACTGAAAGCTTGCTGACTCTCCACAAGAAAGGCTTTCTCCATTCCCATGGCTGTGTGCCAATAAGGAAATAGGACAAGATTTATGAGCATGGCCCAAAATGCCACAGCAGAGTTAGAATAATTTTTAAAAAATATATTAAAAAGCAGAAGAATTGGTCTTGAGTTGACACAGATTTGCCGATGACTCAATCACCTTTTATTTTAAGGCAAAGTATCTTTCTTGGGAGAGAATAAATGAACCATTCCTCCGATGTCTACCGTCACTTTGTTTTGAGGAACGATGGTGGAGTGCCACCACGGAACACAGGCTACTCAGAAATGTCACAATGACTGACGTTTACGGTTGATTTATGACATGTACATTGCCTTAAGGTCTCCCAGCTCCTGCACATCATCTAAACTCATAACAACTAAACTAAGTCCATTAATTAGTAAGATAAATTAAAGATTCAATCTTCAATCAGTCTAGACGAGACTTAGAAGGGCTATGCAGCAGGCACTTAGGCCTTATTCCCAATAAATTACATACGCTTCTCTGCAGCATCGTGTATGCCACCCTCTCCTAAGTGGCTTCAGCTGTGAACACACGGCTCTGTGATGATATAAAGCCAATTAGCCTCAGACAGTAGTGGAGTGAAATTCCAATTGCAAACTTTTTACCAGCTAGCATAGCACTCCCTGAAAACTTACAGAAACTCCAGATAGATCTAGGTCTCGCTTAGCAACAGTTAACAGTGCAGGGACTATTACACCAATTTCCTCTTTTTATGTCATGACTTTACATGTCAGAGTGGCAGGAAAAAGTGGCACACACTGCCAAATTGTTTCTAAAAGCAGTTTACATGGAAAGCAAAATTAAAAATATGCAAGATAATGCTACATTGCAAGGAGCTTGAAAAAAACAAAAACAGGTAAACTTTTTTATATATAGGCATTAATATGTTTGATGCTTTTTTTCCTAAGAGCAAAATTGTAGTTACTTAATATCATTTACTTCACCAAACTACATGTATAAGAGGAACATGCAACTTAATTTAACCGGAATGTACATCTTCAGAGCTTGAATCACTAGAAAATTTAAAAATTGAGGGACCAGGCACAGTGGTTCAAGTCTATAAACTCAGCACTTTGGGAGGCTGAGGTGAGAGGATTGCTTGAGCTCAAGAGTTTGAGGCCAACCTGGGCAACATAGTGAGACCCTGTCTCCACACACACACACACACACACACAAAATATATATATATACAAAAACTAGCCAGGCATGGTGACTCACACCTATTCTCCCAGCTCCCTGGGAAGCTAAGGTGGGAGCCCTCCTTGCTTGAGCCCAGGAGGAGGAGGCTGCAGTGAACCGAGACCACACCACTGCACTCCAGCCTGGGCAACAGAATGAGACCCTGTTTCAAAAAAAAAAAAAAAAAAACCTGAGAAACTCACAATAAACAATAATTGAACTCAGCTATCAAAGGATAAACAATAAAATAAGTCATTTATTTCATCTTCTGCCAATCCATTGCATGACGAAAAAAGTGAAGTATAGGGTAGAAAAGTATTTACAAGGTCCAATAGCATGAAAGGCATAGAAATCGCACTGTATTTAAGTATTCATTTATTCAGAAACTATGCATACACAAAGTGCTTTCCAGATGCAGGGTCTTTTCAAAGCACTGACCCAGGAAGAGAGCTTTGATTCCCTGCCTTCACCACTGGTCCACACTGAGTCAAAGTATGAGATTTTTTTTAGCAGTAACCGTCCACCTTGGCCAGGCGCGGTGGCTCATGCCTGTAATTCCAACACTTTGGGAAGCCAAAGAGAGAGGATTGTTTGAGGCCAGGAGTTCAAGGCCAGCCTGGGCAACATAGCAAGACTTCATCTCTATTCTTTTATTAAAATAATGATAATTCTCACTCTGTTACAAAGATCCACGTACACGTATGTTCATTGCATCGCTGTTCACAGTAGCAAAGATGTGAAATAAACCCAAATGCCCGTCAACGATAGATTGGATAAAGAAAATGTGTTACATAGACACCATGGAATACTATGCAGCCATAAAAAGGAGCAAGATTGTGTCCTTTGCAGGGACATGATGTGGTTGGAAGCCATTATCCTCAGCGGACTAACACAGGAACAGAAAACCAAACACCGCATGTTCTCACTTATAACTGAGAGCTGAAGGATGAGAACACAAGGACACAGGGAGGGGAGCAACACACCCTGGGGCCTCTTGGGAAAAGGCAGAGGAGTGGAGAACATCAGGAAAAATAGCTAATGAATGCTGGGCTTAATACCTAGGAGTTGGGTTGATAGGTGTAGCAAACCACCACGGCATATGTTTACCTACGGAACAAACCTGCACGTCCTGCACATGTGCCCTGGATCTTAAAATAAAATATGGTTTAACAATTAAAAACAATGACAATAATAATAATCGCCCATCTGATGAGTTGCACCATCCAATTATCAAGCCAAACATGAGAAAATGCTTTATTTCCATCCTTTTAAATATACGCCATGTAAAACTTTACTGCTCAACTGCAATGAATAAACACTGACTTCATTTTTAAACATCTGAAAATTCTATCACACCCCTAAAGATAGAGGGAAACACCCTTGAATATTGCAAAATCAAAGAAAGAAATTGCTGCCCTAAATAAGAAAACGCTTATGGGACCTGAATAGATAGCTGCAATCCGTATACAGGACAAAACCATTCACCAACAAATCCCAATCTTCATCCCACTTTCCGTGTCAATGAAGTAATGGAATCATACAATATACCCAGAGGTCTATGTTCTGCTGCTACCAGGGTAGCCTATACAGATGTGAAACTAATCTTTTTAGAACGGCCTTGACAACAGGAAAAGATTACCCCAGAAAATATTCAGAAAGGCCCTGCTAAAATAAATTCCAGTTTTTCTGAAACTGTTGTTAGATGCTAGGGATAGTAATGGCCTCCTATCCATAAAAATTATATCAAGGAATCTGATGGGATGTGACAAACCCCAGTTATCTTATGTGTCTCCCACGTGCATCTCCACCTAAAATTGCCCAACTATGAGTTGGTTCTTCTTCCCTTTCTCTCCTTATCTCAGTGATGGCATCATTTACTGGTAACCTCAATCAAAACACGGGTGTAATCTCTCTTTTTTTTTTTTTTTTTTTTTTTTTTTTTTTTTTTGAGACAGAGTTTCGCTCTTGTTACCCAGGCTGGAGTGCAATGGCGCGATCTCGGCTCACCGCAACCTCTGCCTTCTGGGTTCAGGCAATTCTCCTGCCTCAGCCTCCTGAGTAGCTGGGATTACAGGCACGCGCCACCATGCCCAGCTAATTTTCTGTATCTCTAGTAGAGACGGGGTTTCACCATGTTGACCTGTATGGCCTTGATCTCTTGACCTCATGATCCACCCGCCTCGGCCTCCTAAAGTGCTGGGATTACAGGCTTGAACCACCGTGCCTGGCCAGGTGTAATCTTAAACTCTCTCTCCCTTTAGCTTCTTATCTAAACTCTCACCTACACTCATACCCATCACCAAATTCTGTCAGATTTAACTCTACCTCACAAGTGTATATCAAATCTATTCCATTTCCCCCTCCTCCTACTGTGGGTCCCGGACACTAGCTGAGCAACTACTTATCTCTCTACAAAGGCCATCTCTCCCTAACTGTTCTTCTTGTTGTGAATCTTGTCACTTCGTGCCTAAACTCCCTGCCATGTTGCCCACCTCACACCCAACTCTTTTTGGTGCCATTGTTAAAGATTTTTTGTTTTTGTTTTTCTCGCTCTCTCTTTTTTTTTTTTTTTTGAGACAGAGTCTCACTCTTTCACCCAGGCTGGAGTGCAGTGGCGTGATCTTGGCTCACTGCAACCTCCGCCTCCCAGGTTCAAGCCGATTCTCCTGCCTCAGCCTCCTGAGTAGCTGGGATTACAGGCGCATGCCACCACACCTGGCTGATTTTTGCATTTTTAGTAGAGATGGGGTTTCACCATGTTGGCCAGGCTGTTCTGGAACTCCTGACCTCAAGTGATCCACCCACCTCAGCCTCCCAAAGTGCTGGGATTACAGGCGTGAACCACCAGGCCTGACCAAAGATTTTAAAATTCTAATTATAAGCTGAGAGCAGGGGCTCACCCCTGCAATCCCAGATACTCAGGAGGTCAAGGCAGAGAGTTGCTTGAGCCCAGAAATTTAAGACCAGCCTGAGCAACACATGTAGTGAGACCTCCACCTCTAATATACATGAATTATATATTTGTTTATATTTAGATATATCTATCTATATATTAAAATTCTAATTATAAAAGTAATATATGTACTCACTATAGAAAATTTGGAAATCATCTTAGAGACATTTAGAGAATGTCTCTTAGAGAAGAGGTAAATTTTTCCTCTTATCTTAAAAAAGGAAATTTTTGAATTCTCAGTTACAGCTTCCAGAGATAACCAATGATTTTTGAAAACCTCTTTAAAAATAATACAATCAAGATGCCTAAATAGTGACCACGGAAGCTACTGGTTCTGCTGCAGGATTCTCTAACTTGATGACTCATCTAATTTGTATGAAAATATAAGATTGGGATAGAGAGAAATTCTTTTCTGCCCAGAGGACTTTAATTTTGTAATACATCACCTTCAGTCTCCTCACCCTGTCAATTGTGTGTATATTCCAAGTGTAGTCCTACTTGCTTGAAATAAGAATGGCGTTGCATTTGCTTTATAATTTGGGAATGTTCTTATCTAGTGAACCAGTAGAAATTTTTAAAAATTGGTTAAAAGATATTAAGGAAGACAAAGTTGAGATTGCTAAGAAGAAAACTTAAATCAAAGATGTATACTGCAGTTAACAGATGACCCCCAAATCTGAATGGCTTTCAACAACAAAGGTTTGCTCCACACTTTGTGCCTGTTACGGGCCGCTGCAACTCTCCCCTGCATGCCTTCACTTCCGCACCTGGCCTAAGAGTAGCCTCTGCGTGAATACGGATGCTCGCTTAAGGAAGGGAAAGGGCAGCACGGTGAATCCTGCCTAGCTTTTAGAACTTCTTTCCAAGAGTGTGTTGAGGAGCCAAGGTGGGAGGATCACTTGAAGCCAGGAGTTCTAGGCTAGCCTGAGCAGCATAGCAAGGCACCATCTCTACAAAAACAGATAAAGTAGCCAGGCATGATGGCCCACGACTGTAGTCCCAGCTACTCAGAGGCCAAGATGGGAGGATTGCTTGAGGCCAGGAGTTTCAGTCTAGCCTGAGAGACAGAGTAAGACCTTATCTCAAAAGAAAGAAAGAAGGGAAGAAAGAAAGA